CATTCGATCGCTCGACGAGCTCTTTCGAATGTCATATCACTCGAGCTAATCGGCGTCTGTGTCTCGTATACCGAAATTTTTCCATGCATTTTTGTGTTTCTTTGTATTTTTTGTGTTTTGTTGTGTTTTTTTGTATTTTTTGTGTTTTGTTGTGTTTTTTTGTATTTTTTGTGTTTTGTTGTGTTTTTTTGTATTTTTTGTGTTTTGTTGTGTTTTTTTGTATTTTTTGTGTTTTGTTGTGTTTTTTTGTATTTTTTGTGTTTTGTTGTGTTTTTTTGTATTTTTTGTGTTTTGTTGTGTTTTTTTGTATTTTTTGTGTTTTGTTGTGTTTTTTTGTATTTTTTGTGTTTTGTTGTGTTTTTTTGTATTTTTTGTGTTTTGTTGTGTTTTTTTGTATTTTTTGTGTTTTGTTGTGTTTTTTTGTATTTTTTGTGTTTTGTTGTGTTTTTTTGTATTTTTTGTGTTTTGTTGTGTTTTTTTGTATTTTTTGTGTTTTGTTGTGTTTTTTTGTATTTTTTGTGTTTTGTTGTGTTTTTTTGTATTTTTTGTGTTTTGTTGTGTTTTTTTGTATTTTTTGTGTTTTGTTGTGTTTTTTTGTATTTTTTGTGTTTTGTTGTGTTTTTTTGTATTTTTTGTGTTTTGTTGTGTTTTTTTTTGTATTTTTGTGTTTTGTTGTGTTTTTTTGTATTTTTTGTGTTTTGTTGTGTTTTTTTGTATTTTTTGTGTTTTGTTGTGTTTTTTTGTATTTTTTGTGTTTTGGTGTGTTTTTTTGTATTTTTTTGATTTGTTGTGTTTTTTTGTATTTTTTGTGTTTTGTTGTGTTTTTTTGTATTTTTGTGTTTTGTTGTGTTTCTTTGTATTTTTTGTGTTTTGTCGTGTTTTTTTGTATTTTTGTGTTTTGTTGTGTTTTTTTTGTATTTTTGTGTTTTGTTGTGTTTTTTTGTATTTTTTGTGTTTTGTTGTGTTTTGTTGTGTTTTTTTTGTATTTTTGTGTTTTGTTGTGTTTTTTTGTATTTTTGTGTTTTGTTGTGTTTTGTTGTATTTTTTGTGTTTTGTTGTGTTTTTTTGTATTTTTTGTGTTTTGTCGTGTTTTTTTGTATTTTTTGTGTTTTGGTGTGTTTTTTTGTATTTTTTTTGTTTTGTTGTGTTTTTTTGTATTTTTTGTGTTTTGTTGTGTTTTTTTGTATTTTTGTGTTTTGTTGTGTTTCTTTGTATTTTTTGTGTTTTGTTGTGTTTTTTTTGTATTTTTGTGTTTTGTTGTGTTTTTTTGTATTTTTTGTGTTTTGTTGTGTTTTTTTGTATTTTTTGTGTTTTGTCGTGTTTTTTTGTATTTTTGTGTTTTGTTGTGTTTTTTTGTATTTTTGTGTTTTGTTGTGTTTTTTTGTATTTTTTGTGTTTTGTTGTGTTTTTTTGTATTTTTGTGTTTTGTTGTGTTTTTTTGTATTTTTTGTGTTTTGTTGTGTTTTTTTGTATTTTTGTGTTTTGTTGTGTTTTTTTGTATTTTTTGTGTTTTGTTGTGTTTTTTTGTATTTTTTGTGTTTTGTTGTGTTTTTTTGTATTTTTTGTGTTTTGTTGTGTTTCTTTGTATTTTTTGTGTTTTGTTGTGTTTTTTTTGTATTTTTGTGTTTTGTTGGTTTTTATATTTTCTTTTTAAATTTTCCTTCTTTTAAATAAAAAATATCATAACTTTACATTTTTCCAAACTCTATAAATCTTCAATGAACATGTTCTGCAATAAGATAAAATCCTAAAGCATAAACAGCAAAAAGAGACAAAATAATAATCCAAGCAATCCAAACTCCACAATTCCATTCAACATAACGTTTTTTTCGAATATTGTTTTGACTTCCAGTTACGTTGTTTAAAATATTGTTAAGACATCCTTGCTTTTTAAAAAATTCCAAATTGTTTTTCTTGTCATCCTTGTGGAAACTTATTGTGTTTTTACATGCTCCTCTATTGCAGAAAATACCTTTAACAGTTTTAGTTTTTTAGATTTATTTCGACTCTTTACAGGACACGTTAAACAGATAGTTGCACCTCGACCCAGTTCCCGAACGATTTTTTCACAATTCTCCCGGCCCGAACCCCGCCCGAAAAAAGTTTCGGGGTATTTTAATGAACTAACTCTGAAAATTAAAAATGCTTTTTATCATATCTTCCTTAAATAAAGGTTCATAGCAGGGATGTCACGGGTTGAGAAAAATGTCGGGTCGGGTTTCGGGTCGGGTTTCCAAAATTTTTCTCGGATCGGGTTTCGGGTTTCGGGTTGAGCAAAAAGTCGGGTCGGGTTTCGGATCGGGTTTTCAAAATTTTCTTCGGATCGGGTTTCGGGTTTCGGGTCGAAAAAAAGTCCGAGTATCTTCCCTTCTCAGCGCCGCAGGCGAAAATTTTGAGAATTCTGGAAGGTCCGAAGCCAGATTTCTCACTTTTTCAGCGCCGCAGGCGAAAATTTTCAGAATTTTGGAAGATCATTAAGCTAAAAATCTTCCCTTTTTCTCCGACGAGGGCGGAAATTTTGAGAAAACTCGGGTCGGGTTTCGGGTCGGGTTTTGAAAAATAAAAATTCTCGGGTCGGGTTTCGGGTATCGGGTTTTGGGTAACCCGTGACATCCCTGGTTCATAGTAATATTGTGGAGTTCCTTGTTATTGATCAGCAGGGTCCGGATTATCATCCTAATAAAATCGCAAAATATGGCCATAAAATATTCAAATAAATTAGCTAAATATTGACATAAAATGCCGAAACTTAAATAAATATTGAAATAAATTATGGTTTATTTAGTGCAAAAATCGAGAAAAAAGTTGAAATTTAACAAAAAACTGTTTTTGTTGCTTTTATAACTATTTTTACGCTAATAAGGAGATTCTGGTTATTATAAAGCTGAAAATTGACTTAACTAGGTCCCCCATGGTTCTGTACTTTTATCCGTATCTCGGCTCAAAGTTGTTTCTGTGAACTAAAACTTTCCAAAAAATAAAATTTTCTGGCTTGTTTGGTACCAATGTTTCGACCAAATTTCTTATTCCCCCAAATTTCCCCTTAAAGAAATTTCTCTTCTCCGCCCCCCCTCCCCCCATTTTAAAAAATAACCTTTATTCTTTTCTTTAATATTTCGGCGGGAACGGTTTTGTCGATATTGAGGCATTCCTTCAGCAATAGCAATATTGATTTCACTATACGGATCATTTCGTTCTTCCAGGCGATATTGATGAGAACGTTCTAACGGTTCAAGTGGAAAATTTTGTTGTTGAGGAATTGAAGGTGAATTTTGTCTTCGACGAAAGAAATTTTGAAAATCATCAATTTCGGGGAATTGACATGTTAAACCCCCTAAATGGATTATTGCGAAAAATGAAAGTGCAGCAGCAATCAGACCACTAACGAGTGTATGCACAATAAACGCATCAGCCCTTTTACCAAAACTTGTATGACGTTTCTTTCGAAACAGCTGAGATAGATTAGTTTTGAAAGGATTCTGAAATTTGATTTATTGTAGGTTTTTATGAAATAAAGTGGGTCTCACTATAATATACACCCAATACTTAGGAAGCTTCCCACACTCTGGTCCTTATAAAAAATTCGTTGTAAAAGTTATATAACCCCTACCCGAGGCTCCACTAACACTGAATTAGCAGCATAAATTCCTACTCTGAGTCCAAAAACTCTGATTAACTCGGAACTCTGGGTTATTTAACCTGGTTATTTATGGACTTAACCGATTATTTACCCCCGAATTTATTTACTGGCCCTGTAGAAGACCATGTTTTACCTATTAAATAGAGGTGCATCTAGTATTGAGGTATAAGTATTTTTGTCTTTAATAAACTTAAAAACTACCTCGATTTTCTGTGAAAAATACTTTTTCAAAATTTGCCAATTATTTTTCTTATAATTTTCACCTGGATTTTCACCTAATCTATTTTTAAGATTACTCGTAAAATCCTTAATGTATTTAATTATATCACGACTTGATTTATTTAGCTCAACCCTTATTCTTTTATTTGAATTGAATATTTCTCCATCAGTCTCGTCATTTGTCTTTTCGACAATTTTTTCAATTTTTAAAGCTTTGCTGAAAACTAATAAATTGGGAAATAATTTTGAAAATTCTTCTCTTGATTTGTTTTTATCGTTCAAATGTTTGACGAAATTGTTGAGAAAAGCGACTAATTTTTCCGACAAATTTTCTCCATTCTTCTTGATTAAACTGAGTTTAAAATAGAGCTTTTCTATGGATGTTTTCTTCATTATAAAATTTTCAATAACAACCACAAACGAATTAATTTGTTTAAACTCATTTAGGAACACAATGTTTTTGCTGTTTGAAGCTTTATTTCTTATCCAATCAATTGGTCGCTTCAAATAATTGAATATTTTCTCAATTAAACGATCCATAAAACTTTTGTTCTCCCCATTATCAGAAAGCTGTATTGCTCGAAAATCAAAATAATCAGGCGAGTAATTGTTACTGGAATCTCCACTTACTGAAAAAATAATAATCCTTATTTAGTCAATGTTCTATGATCAAGTACTCGTATACACCACTGAGAAAGTTATATCACTTACCAAGATTTAATAATCGTCTACATGCGTATTTAAAAACTTTGTTATTCCATCCTTCAAGATTAAAATAAGCATTGTTAATTTTATCTTCAAGCTTCTTCTTTTCATTTACTTTCATTAACTCTGTAATGCTTTCTACGCTTAAGCTGAATATAAGTGTTCGGATTAAATCATCCATATGTAACGATGTTTTACTTTTATGTCGGTTTTCATATGGTTTCAAGGAACAATTCAAACGAAAAAGTAAAAAATTATTTAGTTCATTTTTATTTTCCAACATTTCCATGTAGTTGCCAATAGTAGGATTCTCTAGGCACTCTTGTTCAGTAATTTTCTCATAAACTTGAAGCTTTTTTGTTGGATTATTTAACCATCCAGCCTAAATTTTGTGAAAATATTTAATGATCATGCCAATGAAAAGTTCAAATTAAACTTATGAGAATTTTCTTACCTTATTTTCTGTTGGCTTTTCATTACAGTTTGGATCAAAACGCCAATTTAAAAATTGTTCAAGTGTTTCAGCATCTAGCACACTTTGAACTTTTGAAAACTCTTTAAAATCAACTTTATCATTGACCGTTTTAACCAATTTTAAATCTGGATGAAGAGCTATCATTATCTTCATTGCCACATTTAAATCCTCTAATTTTTGAGTGGAAACAATTTCTAATAAAGCATTTGTGTCTTTATTTTGAATTGATTCGTACATTTTAGTTGCAATATACAGAGGTTTGGTCAGAAAAGAGTGAAGAAGCTTTTTGTTAGTTTCAGATAATTCGAGAGGTTTTGAATTTTTCATTTGAAAAAGTCCTTTTTCATTAGTGAAAAAATTATTAACACATTTGGTATAAAGATTCAAACTAATTTTTGCGTCATTGTTTTTAATTTCACCATTGAGAAGTTCCTAAAAATTATTTAATTAATATATTTAATTGTTCAATGAATCGCCAAAAAGATATAAATTAAAAGCTCACCCTGATTGGATTCCCAATTTTGCCTTCATCACTCTTCAAGTTGTCGCAAAATTCGGAAATTCCTATAAATCGGGCTAGATCATTAAACATCGCCATATCATTCAAAAACATATTTACACATTTCTCTTGTTCATCACATTTACTAGCATTTTCTAAAATCCAAGCAATTTGATTCTTTACATGTTGATCAACTTCATCTATCTCGGAAGAAATATCGAATTCAGCCTTTGCTTCGAAAAACTCCTCATTTTCTTCGTTAGACCCTTCTCCACTCCCATCAACAATATTAAAACAATAAATTAACAAAATGGAGTTTAAAGCAAATAGTTTTAACATTTTAATCTTAATTAAAATTGTCACCGTCTAAACCTTTCTGTTAGAATTAGGAAAAATAGAAAATATTTCATGCGAATATATGGGAGGGGTGGGCAAAACCGAAAAGAACCAAAAGCTGTGAAGTACTACATACATATATGTATGTTTAACTGTTGGTTAAAACATTATACGAAATTTTATAAATTTTGAAATTAGAAAAATTAAAAAAATTTAAATAAATTTATTTTAAATAAAAACATTTAAAAAATTTATTCTAAAATTTTATTTTTATACATAAATGAAAGTCTACATCCAATTTTCCGTTATTTAAAGGCAGTTAATCGCTCGCTCCATCCCCTACCGCGCTACTCACACATAGATGGACAGAGAATTCAAATTAAAGAGAGAGTATTTATTCTTAAAAAATAAAATAGTCGCAAGTGAGAGCATCTTACTGTACAGCAAGGGTAGAGAAAAAAATTTTTTCCTGATAAATTTTTATTTATTACCAGACATATGTTTTCTTGTTATGGGGAAAACAAGCAAGTAAAACATACTAAAATTTTAATCAAATTTCGGCTATAGTTTGGTTACCGAAGTTTTAGTTCCGATACAAGACCCATACCATTCATTCGTCTCGACGAGCTGAGTCGAATGGTACCACTCTTCTTTTTCCGGAGATGCCTGTGGATCGAGATATAGGTCCTCGAAAATCGAAAAACCATAGGGGGGAGTAAGCACAACATGTCTCTATTTGGACCTCATATATAATAGACCCAAACATTTGGAGAGGCTAAAAACAAGACCGCAGTGCTTGTTTTAAATTTTGCGAATATATGGGTATATTTATAATTTTTTTTAAATTTCTTAATATTTTAATTGATTTTTCTTTCCCCTCTTACTTTACTCATGTGAAAATCTATCGATAATTTAAAAAGGCGAAAAAATTTTTTTAAGTAAATAAAAGACAATAAATCAATATAAAAAATTTTTTTAAAGTGAAGGAATTTTTAAAGGATTTTTTAAAGATAATAGAATGGATAGTAAAAGTTTTAGTTGATATAAAAAGTATTTTTCTTTGCCGTGAAATACAGAAAAACTAACAAAACCTAAAAAAAGACTTTCCTATCCAAAATTTTCCGCAAATTAATAAATATTTGATGGGATTCGGATTATTTCCACAAAATCCTGCAAAATCAAGATTATTATAAATAGCAGATGCCGGTTTTTGTCTAAATTGTTTTTGGAAGCATTTTTTTGGGTAAATTAGTTTTATGAGCAAATCAAACACTTCTGAATCCTTTTGTTCTCTATGTTAACTACTTTAAAACTCATTTTCGCTCTTTTTCCCATTACAATGCAAGATAAAAAATTTGGTCGTGCGATTTAGTTCTATAGCTCTGTTCTCTTAGATGTTCGAAGAGCTTCTGTTTTTATTAATCATCTTGAATTTTGCAAGATTTTGTAGTAAAACACGCAAAATTTTTATAAAATTTCCTTCAGCTAAACAAAAAAATCCTTAAAAAATTCCTTCCCTCTAAAAAAATTCTTTGCCTTTTAAGCTTTTGATAGATTTTCACATGATTTTTTCATAATGTAAATACAGACAGAGTAAAGTAAGAGCAGAAAGAAAGAAAAATCAAGGGCTGCGCTTGGATTCGTCCCCCTTGGATTCGTCCCCCTGAACAAAAACTTTGGATTCGTCCCACTAAGTTAATAGTCAATCTTTTGCGTGTCTAGTGATTTCGGCAGAAGTGACGTAGCAGTGGTTAAATGGGCAGTGAGTGATTTAGGCAGAGAAGTGAATTAGGCAGTGAGTGATTTGGGCAGTAAACGTTTTTAAAAAATATTTTCCACATAAAAACAATTTGAGTATCAACGAGAAAATAATTATGCGTGATTTGGGCAGCAAAATTTATTCTAACAAGAAAAAATTTACATAATCAAAATGGAGACAATAAAATTAAATGAAAAGAGATGGTCAGGAAGCAAACGATAGGAGGCAAAACATGAATATCCAACATGTTTTACCCGTAACCGAAATTATAATTCCACGAGAACTACAAGAATAGTATATAATGAAGTAGTTAGTACACGATCAGAAGACAATAGATTTTATTTAGAATTTGGAAAAATACGCTAAGAAGTCAATTGTTGTCATCAGATATTTGGATCCCAATCCGCGAAATTACTCCTAATACCGTGGATTCTATTATAATTAATTTCTGAAGGTTGCCACACACATGCTACCCAGATGATGAAATAAAACTTCCAACAGTTGTCTTTAGTCTTGATGTATTGACAACAATCATAGTGGAATTGGTATATCTTTTTGTCTAAAATAAAATATAATGTTAAACTGAGTAATGTGGTCTACGGTCGCTGGGTTCTGGGCTCGTAACTTAATCCTATTCCTTTTTACCGATTCACAGCTTATGTAGAATGCCGATCTACCCTCAGTAGCAACGCCAAAACAGTTATTCAATCGAAAGTTTAGTTGTTCATAATTTTGTTTAGAATCATATGCTATCATTTGTATATTCGAATTTTTTATCCAAAATTCGCCCCCCCCCTCCCCATTACCTTATCCTTCATCAATCCCCTGAACCAGAAAGTAAATCATGCATCTATGAGACTTAAACTCACTATTTCAGCACAACAGTGGAAATTTTAGAATTATATTTAGTAGTGTTGGTCAAACGCGATTTTTCGGTATCGGTATTTTCGGTAAAATACCGATACCGTAAATACCGCGGTATTTTTGATTGAGGCGGTATCGGTATTTCGGTAAAATACCGAACCGAAAAATACCGACGAAAAATAGTCGGTATTACCGCGGTATTTCGGTATTTTTTGTAAATTTACCAGAATTTTCCCTCTAATCCCCTAAATTTCTCTTGAGACTTCTCTTTATCCCTACAAATCCCCTGAGATCTCTCCAAATCTTCTTAATCCCTGTAAATCTCTCATCCAACTTAATCCTCATATTTTCAAATCTCCAAATCCACTCACCTTTACCAATATCCTTCTATAACTCCAAATCCAGCGATAGCCCTCAACTGCTTTCCAATTTTAAGCGTCGCAGGCAAAAATTTTGAGAATTTTGAAAGGCAGAAACCAGCTTTCTTCCATTTTCAGCGCCGCAGGCAAAAATTTTGCTAATTTTAGAAGACCACCCTCCTAGAATTCTTCCTTTTCCAGCGCCGTAGGCGAAATTTTTGAGAATTTTGGAAAATACCGAAATACCGAAAAATACCGCGGTATTTTGATTGAAGCGGTATCGGTATTTCGGTAAAATACCGATACCGAAAAAATACCGATTTTTTAAAAATTGTTCGGTACCGTATTCGGTATCGGTATTTCGGTAAAAATACCGCGGTATTACCGAAAAATACCGCGGTAGTACCGTACCGTGACCAACTCTAATATTTAGTCGTATGTGAAGAAAATAAGAATTTACAAGTTTTTAAAAATTTTTTAGTAAATACCGATTTTTCAATCCCGGTCCCGATTCGGGATCGGGATCTCCATTCCAAATCCCGATTTCGGCCAATCCCGATCTCGTGTCGTGATCCGGGATCACCATTCCAAAATCCCGATCCCGGGTTTTTCTCTAAATCCCGATACCGCTTAACTCTACTTAAAACTTTTGCAAATCTTTTTCACTTAAATTTTTCCTTCGATTATTAAATTTTTTAATTGATTTAATTATTTCTTGGCATTAGCACGATAAGATTTGCAATAGATTTTTAGCATTATACAAAAAAATTTATCGACTCCCAACTTCCGTCTTATAAAAAATTTTAAATTAGACAATGGAAATAAAAAAAACTTCCTTAATTAAAAATTTTAAAATAATTAATTTAAAAATTAAAAAATTTGCCCATTTTGCTTCCCTCCTTCTTAATTTTTTGTTATTATTTTTTAATAAAATTTTTTAATTTTTATTTTATTTAAATATTTTATATAAAATAAAGTTTGAGTAGGGCGTTCAGCTTCTGTAATCCAAAGAGCCAGACTTACCTTAGAAAACTGGCCACAAATTTCTGAGTATTTCGTAATTTATCTATAAAATTTTTTGAATATTTTTCTGTTAACATTGTTGAAAGAGACGGGGTCGGTTTAGTATATGCCCACCGAGCTCTTTCGAATGAGTTATAATTTGCATATTCGAATTTTTCACCCCAAAATAGTGCTTGGTCCCCCCTATGGTTTTTCGATATTCGGGGGCCTGTATCTCTGCGAGTTTTCATCTCCGGCAGAAAATTCTTGCATATTTGAACTCAGCTCGGCGAGACGAATCGAATGGTATATAACTTGAGTTTCGATCTCGGTGGGCATATACTAAACTACAGCCAAAGAGACGCCCATAGTTTCAAAATTTCAATAAATATTCTTTAAATTTTAAACTAATTTAAATTTGTTAAAAATGAATTTTTAATTAAAATCGACCTTGTTTGTTTCTTAGAACTTATTTTCATGTCATAATTAATTAATTATAATAAAATTAAAATATTTAATGCATTAGTTTTAAAAGATTTTGTTAAAAAATAGCAATTTTTATTTCCAGAGCGGTGGCTTTTTAAATTAGATTTGTAGGAATGAAAAATCAACTATGGGCCTATTTTAATATCCGCCATTTTTAGTTTTTCTGGCGCCATAATTCATTCTTTGGTTTTCTTCCTTTAAACTTTGGAAAGTGTTTTAGTATATTTATTATATTTATTTTAATAATAAACAGAAATATTAAAGATTTGCATGATAATTAATTTTGGTGTTAAACAGAGATATCAAGGGATTTGCGTGTATTATGAGCATTTATAAATAAATTTTTTATCTCATGAATTTTGTATTAAACTAAGTTTTACATTTCATTTCATAAAATAAATTTAAATTTAGAAATACTAAAATTCTTTACTATAGACAAAATGTCTTCGATCAGCAATAAAATTATTATTACTTTTATTCTTTTTTTGCTTGTTTTTGTATTCGATGTTGTGTCGAATAATGGTAGGGCGGAA